TAAATATTGAGTAGGCCTCATTAATGACATATGATATAAAGGACATTTCAGACTTTTGCTAAGGCATTTTCTGACCTTCATCCACAGTATTTAGAATTCTACATGGCAGGTGAATATTCTTTGTATTTGAAAACCCTAAAACATCAAATTCACTGCAAGTTATTCTTTAACTAAATGAATTAAAACACAAACGAGAATGTGAGTTGTAGTTTAAAAAAGAAGAAAACCAAGTCCTGAGTCTAGAGCCTCTACTAGTTGACTCAAGTCTAGTTAGAAAGAAACAAAGTTTTTACAAAACTAACATTGCCGTTAATTCTTCTTTGTTTTTAGTTTGCAGCACAGAGAAAATATAGATGAGCTTTCTAAAATTTTCCCTCTCAGATCACTTCTTACTTTGATAGACTCTGATTCCTTTGTAAAAACAGCCAAAGTTGTTCAACCTATGACCAGAAGTGTCCATTACAAATAACTATTTGTTCTATGTTTTCTTTGGAGAAGGTGAATTTCAGAAGTCTTTCCTGCATACAGGAATGCCTGTGTTAACATATTTCAATAAATAGGAAATAGTTTGAGTTTTGAACAAAATAAAAAACTATTTCTGGAATATAACTCAAAGAACATTTTTACCCTGTCATTGCACTGTGATCTGTCTTTATGAAATACAGTCTTGCCATTATTCTAGTGACTGGGCTTTAAGCATTGTTGAGTTGCAAGAGTTTTTCCAGAAATAAGATCCACAGTTACAAACCTCATTGATTTTCAGATTTCCTTTTTCACGATGTATTTAACAGTCTGAGGGCCCAAGTGCACATTACTTTTTGTGTAAGGGTATAAGGAGAAAGAAAAAATTACTGTTCTCAAGAAAAATAAAGGAAAAACCTAATGTGCTTCAAATTGAGATGGTATTTTGGAAGCTAAAAAAGTGGGATCTTAGATTTACTGTGAGTTGTTTGAAAATTGTTCTGATGATTCTTTAAACCACGCAAGGGTCACAGATCTGCAAGACTGTGCTTTGTTGTGTTTATACTTAAGTTATATATATACTTTAGTTGTATTTAACTTAAACTGATATGCTTGATTTTTTTAAGCAGAAAATGCTCACATTAAATCTAACGTTGTGAAGGTGTATAATTTTGAAAATAAATCCTTATTTTCCTATATATACTGTATGTTATAGAAGAACCAATAAAAACTGGTTTCTGGAACTGCATCATTTAATCTACAAGGAAGGCATCCGATCACCTTTACAAGTGTATTTTGGTAACATTAATGACAACTGCATAGGGTTATTCTGACATGGTAATTTGGGACAGATGATCTTACAGGATTTGAGGAGACACTAATAGATTCAAAATATTAGCAAGATATAATTTTAATAATGTAGATAATAAAATATGATTATGACTTGCTATGAGAATCTGGGAAGAATTATGCATATATTGTTTACAGTGGAGGTTACCATTCATAAAAACATCCTAAAGTATCTATGTTCATAACATCTGTAATATTCTGAAATCACTTTATTAGTAACAATGAAATAACATATTTAAGACAACAAGGATTGCTTTTAGAGGGTCCAAATCTACCTTTGCTCAGTATTTTGCTTCCAAAATTATTTATGTGAAAGAATTAGGGGCAAACCCTAATTCACACCCACACTAAGTGATCTAATTTATCAAGTACTAATGTTTTTTTATAAAAGTTGCATCTCCCCTTTGTGAATATCTGTAGGCTGATAGTTGAAGGTTTGTTTTTTGGGAAGTTCTGCATCAGGAACCATTTGCTCTTAGCAGGAAATCCATTTCTAGTATACTAACAATTTTAATGTTGTAAGATATGATCAGAAATTATTAGTTTTAATGCCTATTTAAATAGACCCTTCATTAAAACCTGACTGTTGGTGCATTTCAAAAATCTTTTCAACTTAACAGTGTACATCCATGTACATGGATCTCTTATTGTGTTCTATCAAGCAGTACTTTCATGCCAAATGGAATGTGAAAATTAACTGGCAGTTTCCTCTGCATCTATGACAAGAAAGTAGTGGGGATTTTTTCCTTCAAGTACTGTAGGATGACATTTTGTAACATGCCATTTTATGTTGATTGGATAACCTGAAAATTTCTTGCCTCAAATAATCATTTTTGTACAGGCATCCTCAGGTCTTCTCAGTCTAAACATTGCTGTAAACCACAATACAAAAAAAAACAGCTTTGAAGTATTCCCAGTAATAATCTAGAAATTTCTTCAAGTATATTGAGATTTTGTTAGAAACTGAATTGCCAGTGTAATCCATCTTCCTTGTGAGAAAAGATTCAGATAAAGAGCTGGAGCCTAGCAGCCTTAAGTATTAGAACATCCCTTTAAATCAATAAGCTACAAATCTGGCAGCGCATTCATGCAATGCCCAGTGCTACCCTAAAGAGGCTTTAGTGCTGAAACAGCATTACTAATAGCACATCCTCAACATGGATAAACAGTTGAGTGATGCAGTAACCCAAGGAAAATGAGGCCTTACCTAGTTAAGTTTCACAAAAACATTTATATTGTACTGGCATGGATAAGAAAGTAAATTTCCTTCTTTTTTTTTTTCCCCCTTTTTTTCCAGATGACTTTCCAAACGTAGTTATAGACGGCATTCTACATGGAATATTTTATCCTCACTTACTGCCCAGGTAGAAGTAATACAAGGCAAGAAGAAGCTGAAGTCATGGTTAATAGAATTAACAGGAATAAAATTCTGTGATGTGAAAATTATGCTCAGAAGCAAGAGGCACAACCTCAGATTAAGTTCAAGCATTATGTCTTTTTAAATAAAATCACTGTCATTACAGTTGCTGCTTTTAAAAAAAAGATATGGAAACAACAGTATTGAAGTTATTTATACTTTCTATATATTGACATGCTCTATTTAACACTAAATGTTCTAAGTCATACACTGAATTATGCTAACCTTTGAAGAGAAAAGTTCTACTAATTATTTCTATAATTTATCTTAAAGCAAACACTAAACCATTTTGCACCAGGATTTTTCCCAGCACATTACCCATTTCTGGCACTGGATGGATTAAAAATGCTGAAGAGAGTGTGTGCAAAATTGGAAACATGCTTTCTCATTCTGAAACAGATAGCACTCTCTGAGGAAATTTTCTACATTTCACTTGAAACTATTTTACTTACCAGGAGCTTCTGTGTGGCTTTTGTATATCTCCATTCAGTTATGACATCTAACCTGTGTGTTTGTTTACTCTCCACACCAACTTGCTGACTGTATTCCATATATTAACATTTTATAAGTCACACAACATACAACTCTGTGGTAAACTAAAGCAAGAATATTATTAATATTATGATCAAACTAAAACTGATATGTATGTATGCTCAGATGTAACTGGAAATTTGTATGTGTGCTACTGGACATTACAAAATAAATTACTAGGACATGAATGTACCACTTCAGTGGGTTTTTTTTGTGATATTTTTCTATTGAAATTTTTCTGAGATTCTGTCCTCTGAGATGGGTCTCACAGATGAAGTGTGAGAAAATACCTGTGTGCTCATTTAAAGCTCTTAGGTCTCAGCTTAGCTGAACTATATGTCTTGGTGAAAAAAATTAAGGTTAATCGAACACAGAGTAAATCATGGGGCTTATCAGCAGAAGGGAGTGTTACACAAAAGCAGCAATGGCAAAGCTGGGCACAAACGTAAGTCAGATCCTGGAGACACATGGGTTGCCTGCTCTAACTACTAAATGTGTTTGGAAGCCATTTGGGGAGAGTGGAAAGCTGGGACTTGGAAGAAAGTTAGGCCTGTGACTGCAGCACTTGTTCAGGTTATGAGGTCTATAGCCACCAGGAGTGCTTTCAGCTACTGGCAGACTGAGGCATTCTCACTCTTGCTTGCTAACCCTGCTCCCAGAGCTGCTTTTCAGAGAATTTTAATTAAACCAGCTAGTAGAAAGAAAAGTGATCAGGGGTAAAATGGAAATCTGATTGCCTAGCACTAGACAAACTTAAAGGCCCTTGCCAAGTTCTCCTCCAGTTCTGTTTGCAGAGGACAGTCATCCTTTCACAGGTCTCTGAAAAGAAGAGTCAGTATTTACCTTCAGGAGAGGCCCTAGGGCTGTAGTTGAAGAACCAGCAGGAGCATCCTCTAACTGCAAATGGTATCTCAGGAGAACCTAGGGTAAATCCCTGCCCACAAGTTTTTTCCTGTTTCCTTGTGAGTGGAATGCCAGTAGGTACCTACCTACAAGTTTGGAATGCCAGTATGTACCTACAAGCTCTGTGCTATAGCAGCCTCTTCTACCCTGAATCACTTTGGCTCAGGATACCTCAGAGCTCTTTCAGGACACCCTTCAGGAAACAAGTCACTGCAAAGGAGTCACCGGTGTGCTGCCTGCCCGTGTTACAGGTGGATGAGCCCTTCATCACATCTTGGCACTGCCTCTTCCCTCTTGAGTCCTAAAACAGTCAACTCAAAACAAAAAAAAATCCACATATCTGCCCTGAACTTAACACAGGTGTGTCTTAAGTGTTACCCCACAGTGACCTCCTCTGAAAGCTACCAGTTGTCAGCTTAAGAGTTATTTATGAAGCATCACAAAAAAATGAACCTAAAGCTTTCAAACTTACAGTAAAATGTAAAGAAAAAGCGTTTGAGCTTTAAAATAAGTAGCATTAGTTAAGTGTTACAAAATTCACCATGCTGTAAAACAAGAATTCTTCTGTTTTAATCAGCTCCTAACAGACTACCTTATTCAATAAGACAGAAAAGCTGCTTGGCCTTGATCACAGAATGGTATCTGAATACTGTGGTTCTCTGAAAGACAGAGATGTCTTTATCTGACATGTTTAGATTAGGAAAATTTACCATCTCTACTCTAACCTTACAAACTTATCTCTTGAGAAGCAAAAGCCCCTGAATATTTTGTGGAATCAGTTGAGGTGAGAAAAAAGACCTTGGGGGGGTAGAGTAAAAAATGCTCTCAAGTATTTATCTGATAGCAAAGTTTATTTATTCAAAACACTTCTATATTTTACTTTTTTTTTTTTTTTTTAAGTTTTTAGAAATGCTGGTAGTGTTACAGTAAATATTTTCCGTTGAAAAGACAAAAACAAACATGGCTAAAATTTCCAAACAGAACAAAATTACTATATTTTAAACCCTGTAAAAATAGAATTACTGCTGTATTTTTTCATTAAAGGCTTTTTCTACAAGATCTAGAATTTGGTGGGATATGCCTTAAATTTCAAGGAGTGGCAACTCCAACAAGTTGTTATAGTTGTCATATCCCTTCTGTATTTGGCAATTGATAAGTATTGCTTATACGTAACTTCATATGTTTTGAGGAGAAAACTCAGTGGATCATTGAGATTGGTCTAAAACTGGCATTAAAGAAAAGTGACTAAGTTTTACTTTTCATTCTGACTATTGGTCTCACCAGTCACCAACTTCAACTACAAATGGTTCCTTTACAGCTATTTTGCCACTGTTCACAATCACACAGTCTTGAAGGGGCCGATCATGTTGATCTGTCTGCTGGAGTTCTATCGAGTGTACCACAGACTGTCAAACAAAAAAAGAACAAACAGAAAGGTTCAGTTTAGCCAAAGAAATTCCAGTGGCTGAAGTCTGGTGCCACGGAAAGAAAAAAGTGCACCTAACATCACTGCTTATTAACCAGCTTGTGAACAAAGACCTTTACCCTGTCAACTTCCCACATCCTTTTCCTTCCACATTAGCAGTTGTGCCACTCTGTAAATCAAACACAGTTGACAGAAGCACAGGGAAGACTGTTTGCCCTCCTAGAAAATCCTTCAGCCAACAGAAACATTTTGAAGGGGCAACTGAAAATGTACATTCAGCTGATTAAGCGGGCACATACAGGATTCTATCTGTGGCCTGTGACCAGAAAGTGAATCCAGAAATCACAAAAGGAAAGCATTATTATTTTTCTAATTGTACAGCATAACTGTGCTTCCAGAAATCTTGTTACTGCTTTTACCTTTATCATATATCACACACATACAGATTTTTAGTGTGGTACCAGTATTTTTAAAGAACAAAATTAATTATGTATATATATTGACAACTTGTTTTTTTGATATCTGTCCATTAATCTGACTAAACTGAAACTTAAGTCTAAATAGCTTCTCAAAAACTTACAGCTACTACTGTAGATCATGAAAATGGAATTCAGTACGAATGTGGGAGTGAGAGGCAAGTATTCTGATGAAGTTTTCAAACTCCTCAAAGTCCATCCAGCAGTTCATGTTTTCCCCAATAATTTCAAAACACAGATTAAAAAGGAATAATTTGTAAGGAGAACCAGACTAATAAAAGTATGATCACTTGAAAACATAATTTTTTAGCTTAAAATTCTATCTGGCCTCTCATCAGTATGTGTTTGCCTGCTTTACATTCACATGCTTCTAAAAACCCTTAACAGTGAAAGTGTTACCCATAACTAGCATGCACTACAAAATTTGATTTTATCCTGCAGAAAAAGAATTATTTTATAGGTAACAGTGTTACTGAAAGGAGGAGCTGAACTTTCTTCATTTGTAAGTTGCAAAGGTGTCAATGTTGATTTCAGTGCTTAGCAATCTGAAATAAGGGCTGTGAAAGCCAAAGGCATGGTTCATGTTTCATTTCTGCTATTTGAGTTCTAAATTGTCCAGCTGGAGCTCTTCACAATAATTTTCTACCATGTACATACTACATTGATACTCAGCTGTTTCTGAACCATGGTAACAGGGGTATAATGGAGCACAATTTGTCCCGATCAACCACTACTTTAAACTTACCATTCCATCAAGGACTTTGCCAAATACTACATGTTTTCCATCTAACCAGGAAGGCTTTGTCACACTGATGAAGAACTGGGATCCATTGGTGTCTGGGCCAGAATTAGCCATGCTAACCCATCCAATTCCATAGTGTTTGAGCTTGAAGTTCTCATCAGGAAACCTTTCTCCATAGATGCTTCTTCCTATGACAAAAAAATAAGAAAGCAAACTTTAAAAAAAACAATCAAATGAAAGCTGCTTTTTGTTCAAAAATGGGAAAAATGAAGTATGAATTCAGGACTTGAAGATTCATTGTTTGAGTAAACACAGCACCATGACTGCTGATGGTTATCAGCAACTCCGTAACTAAAATCATTTTGTGTGTAAAGCTAAGCTAAACCACCACACTTAAGGAAAGAACAGTCAAAGCTGATGATGCTTTATCCCTTGAATTTAAGCTAGCTGAATACCTTCAAGGGTCTGGTTTACAGACACCACTGAACAACGGTATACTTCATCCTGATGAGCAAATTAAAGTACATACTTACGGCCACTAACAATAAGTCTGCCATGTTTTGTGACAATTTCAGTATTTAAACCTTTCCCTTATGCTAAGAAATTGCTTTAGGCATGTTTAGAAACATATGAAGACCAAATGGAAGTCAGACTAAAATACTTGGTGTGTAGGTGTACAGCCATGACATAAAGACTCTGACGTTTCTAAAATAGTTCAGAGAAAACACATCAGTCATGGTCAAACCACCATCACTCTGAAAAGAGAAGGCTGTCTGTCTCACCCTTTACTTGTGCAGTGCCTAGCACAATGGGGACACTTTTCCCAACACCACCAGATGCTACCTCAATAAACAACATCAGCAGGCAAATAAATGCTGCCTACCTTTAATGCTAAAACTACATCTTTGGTATTATGGTCTTCCCCATTGTTGACTGCTAGAAAAAGGAATGTGTGTTTTCCATTCTATCCCAGCAGGGAAATCACTAACAGTTCATGCAGACAGTTCAAATCATAGCATGTCAAGAATGTGCATATAAAGGAAGAGAAGAAATCTGCAGCCAGAGTAAGTGCAGTGCAAGAGATGCTGCGCTGGCACTGCCCCCCTGAGTGTACTGAACTGTTCTTCTGTAGGCTCAGGAGGGTAAAGTGATACACACAGACAGGACTCACAGCACCAGCAAGTTTATGGTTTCAGTTTTAGTAAGAGAAAAACAGGGAGAGGGCATGACCCTCATCTTCTAATTTCTTTGTCTCTCCCTGTTAAGAAATTTCTTCTCACAGCACATTTCAGAGGTTCCTCAGAACAGACTGAGCTGAGGGCAGAGGACAGCCTCCTCCTTCCCTACCTGCCTTCCCTCTATGCGCTTTCACTGTTTCATCACGGATTAGACGTCTGCTGGATGACTTGAATTGGTTCACCTATACATGCAATCAGTGAGTGCCTCAGGGAAGGAGCACTGTCACAAAGCCAGAGCAGGGGAAGGGTGGAGACATCCATCTTTTGGAGACGGTAAGTTGTAGGAGCAGCTCAGCTGGTCACGTGGCTCCAGCCCAGCACGCAAAGCCATGCTTCTGGAATGGGGACAAGTCACAGACAGAAAAGAGCTATCTGCAAAAATTGAGGACAAAGGAAGAGCTACACATACTTATAAATCAGATAATCCAAACAGCTGCAGCTTAGGCAACAAGACACTTGGAAAAGTACTAAAAGTGCTCTAAACCAAATGTGGGCTGGTTTGGTGTTTTTTCATTTATTTGAGCAGAAACTATGAAGGAATATGCTGGTTTGCCCATACTTTCAGCAGACATTTGAACAAAGAAAAGGGAACCTGGAAGATACTAAGTATATTACCTCCTGATCCATCTCCAGCTGTAAAGTCTCCTCCTTGAATCATGAAGTCTTTGATCACACGATGAAATTTACTTCCTTTGTATCCATATCCCCTCTAAGAAAACGAAATAATTCTTTAAATTAATATAACATCCAGTTCTATATACAATCATATGGAAATACACAAGTTGTGAACAGCATATACCACCAAGGGATATAATACTGTCAAGAAAGACATTAAACTGAAGTGCAGGTAAAAACATCTAAATGGCAATGCCACAAAGAAGATATTTATTCAGGTGATCAAAGCCACTGTCTTTATTTGACTGGTATCTGACCACAGTATCTCCACATGCTAGATCTGCAAGGCAGGGACAGACTGAGGTGCTCTTATCCAGCATCTCATAATTACATCTTGTGAACCAAGGACCTGAGAAGACACACACTAGTGCACATCCTTGGGGACAGCACTTGCGCACAGGCTCCAGTAAATGAAGATCGACAGTTCACAACTGAAACAGCATTAAATACACACTGCCTTCCCAAGCCAAACTTGAGTACACAGTGGAAGAAAACTGCAAACGTACTTCTCCAGTTGCCAACGCAATGAAGTTCTCCACGGTCTTTGGGACAACTTTTCCAAACAATCCAATTACAATTCTGCCAACATCTTTGTCTCCGATCTTCACATCAAAGAACACCTGAATATTTTTGTGAAGGGAACAAAAGTGATATAGATGTGAGCACAGCAAACAGCCAAGTTTTTCAAAGAGTAAGGTGGTAAGAAATTACTTCTGGCTGGTCTGTATTAATAGTATCCTGCAATCTAAGGGTGCTGTTTCAGAGAAATCCTTTCAGAGCCACCAAAATCAGGTTATGTAGAAAACTGTTTGAGAACCAGTGACTATATGTTTTGATTCTTACTGCTTTTAATGGCTCGGTGAGACTGCTGTATCTCAAGTTTGAAGATAGTGCTCAAGAAGATTTTTCCCAAACATGTAAGTCTTTAAAGCTGAATGGAAAAAATGAAATATGAAAGTAAGGAAGAACAACAATTCTATTCCCATATGGGGGAAAATAACAAGGAACTATAGTATTGACACTCCCCACAAATGACCATTTGCTATCCACTCACAATCTTCACTGTTTTAGGCATCAGTACGTATACAAAAGCCTAAATTCCATTGAACTGACAAACACTGAGAAGTAAATCCTTTGGCTCAAGCAAGCAGTTGCCTTCCTAAACATGAATTCAAACACAGCACAGAAATAACCACGCCAGATTATTCAGCTGATTGCCTCAATCTTCAATGTATATGTCACTGAAAAGCAACTTCAAAAAGACAAATGAGTACAAGACATTTTAATATAGTTCAAAATCTATGAATGCATATTTGAATGTGCAAAAATGTTCCAATAATTACTGAAAATAGGAACAGCTGTCAGGAAATGAGGCATTTTGAAGTTCTGAAAAAGTTACATAAAGGCTATTACAACTTCTAGGAAACAGCAATGTGTATTCCTATGATGTGGTATTTGCTGTTCCTTGTGGCGCTCAACCAAGTATTACTTGTCTGTAATGCTAAGAAATTTATCCAATAATGATAATAAATGACCACAGTCTCTCCAATGTGAATGCCTCTTTCACGCTCTCCTACTAAACATTTCTATCATTTCTTGATCTTCCATGTGGTTTTGACTGTTGAACTTTTGGCTAACACTATAAAAGCACTATAAAGGAAATAAAGTTCCTTTTGATACACCTCATTCATTTCCTTGACACTTGGCACTGAATAACATGCTTCTTAGAAGTGTGGCTCCCAAAGTATTAACAGCACACTTTCACTAACTTTTTAACGGTTTTATAAACAAACCTCTCTGAATTGTGCCGCTGGGGTTATCTTGGTAAGGGGTGTTGCCTTCCTACATTTTCTAAACCCACTGCATGTCTATTTTGCCTGGAAATGTTGTTCTAGTAGGACTGCCTGAAATGCATAGGCACATATAAGTGACAAGACCAAGGCCACCAAACAAGCACCTCACAGAGAACAAACATCATACACTTTGTTGACAGCACAAGGAGACAAGTTTGTCATATGCTGCAAGCCTAGCACAGCCACAAGGCTTCACATGTGGCACTGCTGCTTGCCTAAGCAACGAACCCAGTACTTTTAAAAATGTGTCTCTGCGTATTTTTGGCCACAAAATCAAGCACGGAAATATCTGGTAGCCCTAGACGCTGTTTCTGCATAGAAAAGCCATGTTCTCATGAGTGTATTTCCACAGGTTCCCTGGAAATTCAGTAAGCATGTAGACACTTGTGAGCTGGTTGATACAGCACTTTTAAATCTCAAAAAACACCTGGCCAACTTCTTCAGCAAAAACTCTGAAAGAAAACAAACATTATAAATTTTCAGTCTTATTAATATTTTTATAAATATTTAATCGTATTTACAATCTGCAGTTAAGTATTTCAAGACTGAAATGAAAAAAGAACACACCAGTAAGAGTGGTTGGTTCTCATAAAAATATTCATATACAATTTACACAAGATGCTGTACATCTAATTGAAAAAATGGACAAGAGCATTCAATTATTCAGGGAAACTAAAGGGACTTTGAAAGGAAGATCTCATGATTCTTAGAGACCAGGTAACGTAATAACCTCATAAATGCAAAAATACTGTATACGGTGTAAAGCCAAAACAAGGGGGCCAAAATACATCTGGAATCACCCTGTAGTTTAGTGAAAGGTTTGGCTTTGGGCTTGTGAAGGTCAGAGAAGGAAAACAAATACCAGAAATAATTAAAATTGATACAGTAAAGAGATGGGCATAACTACATTTGTACTGTGAGTTCACACCCTGAGTGCTGCATGTAATTTTGGCCTCTCTACTGCCGAGTGATAAAACCAATCTAAAAAAATGTAGAAAAATGGGCAGAACAGATGCTCAATAGGTATGGAATATCTTTTATATGAAGAAAGGTTACAGAAAACTACTTAACCTGCAAGAGAGAAAACTAGTGTGATTTGATGAGCTTTGTAAAGTTACCACTGCCTAGGACAGTTTGGCAATGCAATTCTTTATGTACCACAAAAATCAGAGAAGGGCATAAAATTATAGCCCAGGCAGAAGGAATGAAAAAGGAGTACTTTATGCATAATTAAATGGGAATGTATTCCCAGAACACTACTTGGAGGTTAAATTTACCCTTCCCCCCAAAAAAATCAAATCTGTGGTCTAGAAGTCCATGGCAATGAAATTGTAAGCAGTTGCAGACAACAGTGGCAATGAAGCACAGAAATAAAGCCACAGTCCATGGCTTAGGATGCTGAAGCCATGCTGGAGGAAGCAGTTCTACCCCGGCCTTCCCTGCCACACTTTCATGAGTGTAGGTGTCTTTCCCAGCATGGCTGCATTCTCTCCTGACTGCAGGTGGAAAAACACCTGGGGGCTGAAACATGGAATTCCAAGGTTGGACCAAACATCCCACCTCCTGCACCAAACAAACATTTTTTGGAAAGAGATGCTGTCACACTGCAGTAGTTAGGTGCATCCCTATCCCGCCAGCCAGGCCCACAGCCCACAAGCCCATCGCCTGGGCAGTGCCATTGCAATGTCCACATGTGCAACAGGCGCACAGCCCATCCATCCTACCTGCCTAGGAGCCCTGCAGCACTGAGGGCCATCCCAGAGCACACGGGAGAGAACTGTGTCCAGCTGGTTCTTGGATATGTCCTGTGAGGGAAACTCCACAGGAGTAATCTGGGTAATCTGTTCAAGTGCTCAGTCACCTGCACAGTAAAGAAGTTATTCTTCACATTCAGGTGGAACTTCCTGTGTATCAGCTGGGCACCAACAAGCAGAGCCTGGTCCATCCTCTTGGCACCCTCCCCTCACACACTCATGGACATTGAAAAGCCCTTTCTCAGTCATTCCTCCCCCAGACTGAACAAGCCCAGCTCCCTCAGTCCTCCCGGCAAGAGAGATGCTGCACTCCCTGATCAACTCAGTAGCGCCCCGTTGGATCCTCTCCAGAGCTTCAGCAGAGAGGGCAGGCAGGAATGAATAAAATCCATGGCACACGCAAGCCCCAGCGCAGTTAAACCCCGTCCTGCTCGGGGCAGCCTGGCAGCTCCAGCAGCCACAAACTGCCCTGGCAGCAGCAGAGGCTGCAGCAGCGCTGGAAGGGTGAGGAATTTATAAGTTTCCACATCTGCAAGCCAGAGGGAGGCTTTGCTGGCCCGAACTCTGCGATGCGCCAGCGCCTACAGAAAGGCGACATGCTCAAAGGGGTTAAAAACCAAGTAACCAACCAAACAACCAAGAAAACCTAATAAAACGGTGAAGTTCTGGCGTTAGGCCAAGCCCGCCCCAAGCCCTCGGTGCCCGGGATTCGGCGCGGGGCAGAGGCCGGCCGGCTGCCCCGGCACCGCCGCCACGGCCGCGGGCCCCGCCCGCCCCGTCCCGAGGCTTCCCGGCGGCGGAGACGCCGGCCTGGCAGCGGGCGAGAGTCACCTTGGCTGTCACGCTGGGTCCCCTCCTCCTGAAGGCCTGGGCCGCGGGGGCCAGGAAGCACAGACACGCCACGGCGCCGAGCAGCGCCCCGCGGGCCATGGCGCCGGCCGAGCGCTGCGGCGCCTGCGCCGGGGAGGGGCGGCTCCTCCCGCGCCGGGGCGGGGGGCTCCGGGGAGCGGCGCTCGCCCAGCCTCCCGGGGAAAGGCCGCCAGTCCCAGGGAGCGGCCATCCATCCGGAGGAAAGGCCACCAATCCCGGGGGAAAGGACACCCATCCAGAGGAGCGGCCATCCATCCCGGGGAGTAGCCACCCGTGCCAGGGAGCGATGACCCATGCCAGGAAGCGGTCACGCATGCCAGGGATCGGTCATCCATCCTGGAGAAGCAGTCACCCATCCTGGCCGGAGGGGTGACCCGCCGGGGGATGAGCTCCAGACCCGGCGCTTCCCGGGTGCGGGGCTCCCGGGACGGGCCCGGTGCCTGTCTGGATTTGGGGCGGGAGCTGGCTTTGGCGGGGCTCGGTGGTGTGCGTTCTGATGTGCAAGGGGAGCCGAGTGCCCTCCCCCGGGCCAGCCTCGCCCAGCGGGACCTGCGGAACCTGAGAGGGGCAGGAGCGCCCAGCCTTCAGGCTGAGGGCCCAGCAGGCTCCCGCAGGTGGGTGAAGTAGCCAAACACTAAACGCTCAAGAGACTGAGCCAGCAGTGTGCCCTTGTGGCAAAGGGCAATGATGTCCTGAGCTGCATTCGAAAGAGTGTTGCCAGCAGGTGGAGGGAGGTGATGCTGCTCCTCAGCCCTGGAGAAAGCACATCTGGAGTGCTCTGTTCGTTTCTGGGTTTCCCAGTGTAAGAGAAGTGGAGCGGGTCCAGCACAGGGCAAGAAAGGGACTGGAGCATGTCTCTTATGAGGAAAGGCTGAGAGAGCTGGGCCTCTTCAGCCTGGAGAAAGGATGACTGAGATGGGACCACATCAATGTCTATGCGTATCAGAAGGGAAGGTGTCAAGAGGATGGACAAGGCTCTGCTTGAGAGCCTTGAAAGCATAGAAACAGCATAAGAGGCAACAGGCAGAAACTGATACACAGCCGATGGTCCACCTGATTACAAGCAAGAACTTCTTTACTGTGCGGGTGACTGCACATTGGAACAGATTACCCAGAGAGATTGCAGTCTCCTTTACTGGAAATACTGAAGAACCATCTGGGTACAACCCTGTGTCGTCTGCTCTAGGGTTTACATGACAACCATGTAAACCATGTAGTCACTTCCAACCTGACCAGTTCTCTGATTCTGTGATTTTGGGAGTGGGTCATTGGTCTTTCATGTCTGCTGTATTTAATGTGCTGAGTAGAAACAGAAGCCTGTGAGGCACTTGTAATACTTTTGTTTTTGTTTGTGTTAGCAGTGGTGGTGCAGTGTTTGGCACCCATGTCAGCTCACACCTCTGGCTTTGGACAATAAACAGCAGTGCTGAAGGAATTCATCAAACACAAACATTTCTCCCAAGCCATTACGTGCTAAAAAATCATTTGCATTCATGACCTGTTTCAAATAGTGCTGCTGCTGCAGTCCCTAGAAAATTTGTAAATTGTAGCACACACTGAAATTTTGTGGCCTCTCAGCTGCCAGCATGTGAAAGTTTAAATGGATGCCAATACACTGCAAGTAGGAAGCTGTCAGTGGCTTATGTAAACACACTCAGGGTTAAACCCAGCGGCGCTGTGGTTCTGGGTGTATGGCATAGCACTTACACAAACAATTGCAAAGCCAGCCCAGAGCTCAGGTGCAGTGCCCAAGGGAGTGTGTGCTCTGCACCACCGCACACGCACTGCATGCCTGCCGAACCCTCAGCTTGAGACTGTGCCTCAGCTCGCAAGTAGTAGAGACAATAGCCACAGACTCATGGAATTGTTTAGGATCATCAAGTGCAACCATTAACCCAGCACTTAACCATGTAATTAGGCACCACATCCACATGTCTCTTAAATACCTCCAGAGTTGGTGGTTCTACCACTACCCTGGACAGCCTGTTCAGTGTTTAATAGCCCTTTTCATGAAAGAATTTTTGATAATATCCGACTTAAACCTCCAGTGGCACAGTTTAGGCATATTTCCTCTTGTCCTAAGGCTTTCTACTTGCGAGACAGAGGCTAACCCTCTCACTACAGCCTCCTTTCAGGTTGTTGTAAAGAGTGATCTGGTGTCCCCTGGTTATCATTTTCTCCAGGCTGAATATCCCCAGCTCCCTCAGCTAGCTGCTCCTCATCAGACCTGAGCAACAAACTGTCCCCCAGCTTTGTTGACCTTCTCTGGACACACTTCAGCACTTCAACATCTTTCTTGTACTGAGTGGCCCAAAACTTAACCCAGATTTTGAGGTGGCTTTACCAGTGCCCAATACAGGGTGGCAGTCTCTTTCTTGGTCATGCTGGCCACACCATTTTTGATACAGGCTAGGATATCATCGGCCTTTCTGGCCACCTGGGCACAGTTGGCTCATGTTCAGCCTCTGTTGACCAGCACACCCAGGTCCTTTTCTGCTCGGCCACTTTCCAGCACCTCTGCTCCCAGCCTGTTACCACTGCTTGGGGTTATTGTCACCAAAGTGCAGGACCTAGCACTTCCTCTGTTAAACCTCATAATCTTGGCTTCAGCCCATCAATCCAGCCTGTCCAGATCCCTCTGCAGAGCCTTCCTACCTTCCAGCAGATCAACACTGCTACCCAACTTAGTGTTATCTGCACACTGACACAGGGTGCACTTGATCCCCACATCCAGATCATGGATAAAGACTTTACACAGGGCTGTCCCAACACTGAGCCCTGGGGATCAGCACTTGTGACTGGCCAGGAGCTGGATGTAGCTCCATTCACCTCCACTCTCTGGGCCTGGCCATCCAGCTGGTTTTGGGCAGCAAAGGGTGTCCATGAACAGACAATGGCTTCACTGTGTGTTTTCAGGTGGCTTGTGCAGCTGACCAAATGCCTACAACACTTGAAGAGTTCAGGCATGCTTATGGAACATGTCCTCTCGTGTAGACATTTGTCAGGCATCCGGTTCATGTCAGGCAAGGCTTCTCTGAAACAAACACAGTAAGCTGGTACATTGGAAATATCCACTTCAAAATTCATTCCTCATCCAATCCAAAACATAGCATAACCTGATGCTCACTTTTGAATTTATGGGGTGATCACAGACTGTCTTTCACAGGGGATGTAACTTTTCTGCTCCTTCCCATTCTGCCCACATGCTGCCTGCGCAAATGTATCTGAGTGTAATGAGATTTCTCATCAGGTGACTACAGTAAAAATTAATTTCACAGGCACAGCAGAGGACATGGTTACAGCTTCCGCATTACATAGCACATGAGCAGAAACACCAAATTATCATCTTGCTAAATTGATGAGATACAAAAATAGATCCTTTTTCTTCAAGAGGTGTAAAACATACTTGTATTCCTGAGTCCAAGAGCAATCTGGAGTAAGCTAGGGCTTAACATTGATGTCTGACCTATGTGCTGGCATTTTGTACAACTGAGGGTTTTACCAAAACCCTGCCCCTAGGGATTGCCATCAGCACTAGGGGATGTGGGGCTTCAGGGCACGATTCAAGACATTTATCCTATAGCTATTTCGAGCTGTTCATTTTAGTAAACCAAAACTAGTTCATGTGTGTGTAGGAGGTTATGGCATTTCTCTGATCCCATTGCTCATGAGTACAATATTGCACAACAATATCCTTTAAATATCAAAGCAGGCCCAAAAGGAAAAGTGTCTCATATGATATATTCTTCAGTATGTCAGTGCACTTTCAGCAGGTATGTTAATATGAGACGTTACTCAGAGTAAACTGGATATGAGTTTATATTCTCTGCCAGTTTGATAAGGTACTGAGAATTTAATATTATGATTCAGCTGCGTTACTTGCACTGCAAATGTGTAGCAATGGTGCTCAACTAACTATGGCATTAAGATTTACTGCAGAAATATAACAAAGTCCAAAGGCTTACGGGTTTGTTCCAGTAGTTGGATATAAACTTTAAAAAATCTGTAGTGCTGTATAAAATCATTAGACAATAGTTAAGGATTCTGTCTCATAGTGACAGAATCATTTTCAGTCCACATATATATCTAATCACATAAGTTTCAATAGTTAAAATCCAGGAGGTGTAATCTTACAATTTCCATCTCTGTTTAAAGAATCATAGAACAATAGAATATTTGGGTTGGAGGGAACCTTAAAGATCATTTAGTTCCAACTCCCTTGCCATGCACAGGTACACCTTTCACTTGACCAGATTGCTCAGAGCCCATCCAACCTGGCTGTGAACTCTTCCAGGGATGGGGCAGCCACAGCTTCTCTGAGCAGCCTGCTCCAGTGCCTCACCATCCCCACCATAAGGAATTTTCTTAAGATCTAACCTAAACCTTTTAATCTTTTAATTTGAAGTATTTTTAAGTTTGGCATGTGTGGGACAGAACATTTTTTTTTACTTCAAATGCATGTGGGTCACCAGGTGAGTGTGTAAAGAAATAAGGAAAAAGGTGGTGCCAAGGCTGTTTCCAGGTTTTGAGTTTGAAAGAAGACCAAGGCTGGCTGATGAGACTGTATTGTCTCAGAGCAATTCAGTCAGAGTAGTGCATTGATTCAAACCAGCAGAAGAATGAGCAAGGAGCTGGGAAGACACACACAAAAAAAAAGATCTGGCTGAGAGGCTCCTTAATTTAATACTCCTTCATACAGAGTGTATGTAGGTGTAGGTAGGCTGAACGACACTGTCACGTCACAGTACTCCCAAGAGTTCCCTTTCACTCTCCTTCAATAAAAATGTCGGTGTTTACAAGTATGACTTCCCTATTTATTGACATATAAATATGTTTCATCCATGTACAAGAGGGCAGTATGAGGCAGAAAGAATGAAAAGAGGGCTTGATAGCACTGAAGATATTTGAAAACAGCAAGATGAGAAGATGAGATTGGATCTGGTTTATATTATCTTGGAAAGTTTATGCATACTGTTGGTGCTGCTAAATAATTTCTGGAAGAAGATAAAACAATGTTTAAAGAGGAAATCTTGAAAAGAGGCAGAAACTTAATATGTTCAGTGAAAAGTCAA